TTAGATGGGATTCGAGAAACCATGACCTTCCGATCACCACCCGCTTGCCTTGCCATCTGAGCAATCCTAGAATACATCATATGGGTAGCTAAATAAGCAATAAAAGCTTGAATCTGAATACCTATCAGCACTCTCTGCCTAGCTCTCTAACTCAATTCAAGGAGATGTGAGAATGATTAATTCATTCATAGTTGTTTTACATGACACCAATGTAACCTCTCCATCTCTCTAATTTCGATGGATTCCGGGCTATTCTTTTCGATAGATCGATGAATTGGTTGTCGTGAGTGATCAAGGAATCAAAATGAACGATTCAGATAAAGATAATGGCATTCTCATTTTGGTTACACTCATGATTAGTACAAATCCATAAATCACAATGGACAGTTCTGGAAACGATAATGCGATTATCATTTGTGTAAAAGATCATGATCATATGAAATAGCGATAATCTCAGATCATCATCATCAGCTCTCGTCACTGAAAATTCCCCATTTAAGACAAGGCTAATCAAATACCCTATAATATGTGAATTTTTGGAATGAGGATGACGTATAGAGATCGAAAGTCGATGTTTGCCGCCATTATGAAATCCAAGATGGTGGCCATCAATTTAAGAAAAACTGTCGCCACCATTTGGAAATGCAAGATTACACTGCAATGGGGGTATTTTCGGAACAGGGATAGCATGCAGATGTAGAAAATTAATATCTGCCGCTATTTGGGAATCCAAGATGGCGGCTATTGATTTTAGAAACAACTTTTCCCTACAATGTGTGCATTTTTGAAACCGGGATGACGTGTAGATGTCTAACATTGATGTCGGCCTGAATGTGGTTGACTAGTGTATTTGTCAGTTCTTTTTAAAACCAAAGATCGCCAAATTGGATTCCAAAATGGCGGTTGACATCGATTTTCAACATCTACACATTATTCCAGTTCCAGAAATACCCATATTGTAGGGTATTTGACAGTTTTTTTTTCCGAAACCAACTGCTGAGATGACGGATTTCAAAATGGCGACCTACATTGATTTTCAAAATATATGTGTCATCCTGATTCCAAAAATATCCGTATTGTAGGGTATTTGACTAGAACAACTTTTCCGAAGACAGCAAGTTCCTAGATTTTGAGAAACATTACAAAGTGATTGTTATCATATCAGTAGATTATCGTTTTTGTTGCTGATCATGATGTGTAACACTAATGATAATCCATGACCTTACTGTACACTGATCATGATTCCGTTAACTAGTATTTTTATCGTCGGAAGATAGCATTTTCTTGATTCCCTGTGAGTGATACGATCTATAATTACGATTTAAATTAATTAGGCGTAGACAATAAAAAAAAGGGTTAAGGTTGGGATTGAACTCGCGATCTTCTACTTGGAAAGCGGAAACGGTAACCACTATGCTACCAATTTTGTTTTGTTGTTAGCCTGAAACAGTGTTGTGAAATAAATAATGAATACGCCGTTTGTACAGCATTTACAAAGCATGCAACTAAAACATGGATGCATATGCATAGTGGTATAAGAGCTATTATGCTGACTGTATTCACCTTTATTCAGCAATATTGTTAAGAAATGAATCTAATAATGGAGCTAGAAAACAATTATTAGACGTATGATAAAGCATGTTATTGAATCAATTGAAAACAGTCGAAGCGTCAATGTTTGTGAAAATAACGTTTATTCAATATGTTATTAGATCAAACTTCTGGTGTTGAATCAGGAAGACAGTCAACGTTTATACAGCTTTTAATAAGTATATTAATCAAATCAGAGCAAACCGCGGAATAGATGTGCATCTATCGATCTCAATGAGGTTTTTTTCGCACATAATTTGACAACCCGTTTTATTCAGCATTGTACACTATTATAAAGTATTTATTCAATATATATGCTTATTTGTGACTCTGAATTGTTTGTTGGGCTAAACATATTATTCAAAACAGTCTTCAGATTTTGAAATTAAGAAACGTTGTCAGCTCGATCCTGCTGCTCCTTTGCGCCTGAAAATGTTTGTTGATCCTAAACATATGCACAATTCATTCTGATGTGTAAAAGGTTATCAATAGTATGTGGAATCGTAGATTAGAATGAAGATTCGCCCTTGGCCTAACTCCCACTGTCTGGCAGTGGTATTATGGATAAAATCTGCCTGCAATCACTTCTTATGAATTCAAAGAACCCAGGAGTTAGAAGGTGACAGCTCTACCGCAGCTACAATAGTCCTCTCCAGCCGGGTTCGTATTGGTGCGATTTGCGTGTGTTAGTGATGAGATGAAATTTTTTGTTAGCTGTGAGAAATTTTTTGTTTGCTGTAAGAACTGTCATTCTAAAGTAAAAATAAACAACAAAACGAAAACAAACCCTACGCTTGCACGGTAACAGTCAAGTACCCTTTTGTGAGTAAAGGTTAACCCATTTTTGATAGAGGTGGTTTTACTCATTAATTAGTAAATTATTTTAACAACAATGAATTTCTGATAACAGTAGCTAACAGTTACAACTTAATTGGCATAATGAATTACTCATTAATTAGTGGTGCCTCTTTTATTGACAATGGGTTCACTTTTACTCATAAATGGATGTTTGATTCCTACCGTGCACATGACAGTATACGCTAGTGTGTGTAAAATTATGTTATTAGTGTAGTGTTCGTGAGATCCTGCTTGGAGAACTCAATAGCCCATTACAAGAACGCAAGCACTCCGAAGCCACCTTTACACATGACAAGCCCCGCTGCAATACATTATCGATGTAAATTTAATGTACTGAAACTTTCAATCAAACAGTAGTACAATACTTGATTAACACGTATTTAGTAAGTTTTGAAATAATCGTCTTGAATTAGATGGATATTTCCTATCGAGGACAGAGGAACGAAAAGCTGAGCGTAGCTACTTACTTAAGAGAGATGCAGAGAACTCTACGATCGCTCATAAGTGTCACAGGAGTTTGGAGGTTTCTTAGTGGGGAGGGTAAGGTCATACGTTTGGTAAACGTTGCTGGCAGATTTACGATAGCATTAGTTATGTTATATTTATGTGTCAACATAAAGTAAATGTGTATGTGTGTATGTGTGAATGTTTAAATAAATATAAATGGATAGATTTCACCAATTTTGCTTCTTGCTCTATTTGAATTCCTTCATGGTAAATTCATGGGATTCCATTGGGATAGGTTTCTAGCCAGTTTCAAAATTTTCCAGATTTAGCAAAACTTTCTTCATCATTGGCGATTCTTAAAAACTTTCTGTGTAAAATCGTACTAAACTCCAACCAAAACTACCAGAAACACGAAAAAAAAAACGGAACAAAATCAATATATTTGACGAGAGAAAAAAAAAATCACGTCCGTCTTCGAAAACCGCACACTTCGATGTCTCTCCAGGTCCGGTTTATGTCATGATTCGGAATTCTTTCTTATATAACAGTTCCCAATGTTTTTTTTTAATCGCGGAGCTCTATGATCAGTTTCATGGATGGACCACTTTTAAGGGGGTATTCCCGATCTTTTTTTTCAAAAAATCAAATTTTTTTTTCACGTTTTTTTTTGTACTTTAGACTATATACTTTCATCCCCCCAAGCCGTTTTCCGATCAGCGAATTCGGTGTCCAGGCATAGCTGACTAATGGTAAGAACCCCCAAATGGTTTTAACTAAAGTCAAAACTTTAAACGCGTTTTTCTCGAAACCACATTTTTTTTATCGGGCGAAGATTTTTCTCAGAAACTATAAGAGATATTGACTTGAATCTTTGCGCATTTTGTTCCTTATTAAATTCTTTGGAGCTTCTCCCACTTTCAGCCAAAAATATTAACATTTAACATTGTTTGAAGCACCTTAAAGCTGCAAAAAAGCGGGCTAAAAATCGCCTGTTTTTTCATATGGCCGCCATTTTGTTAATTTGCAAGATTTTTTGCTGCCAACGGGAGAAGCTCCAGAGAATCTTATGCAGATTATTAATTTCATCACGAAATCTGTTTCAGATGAAGCCGTTCCAGAGAAAAGTCTTCGCCCGTCCAGGCGTTTGCGGCGAACAGGGGTCTGTTTGCCGCCATTTTGTGACGTCAATAATGTCTTTTTTTATGTCGAAAAAAATTTATTTGTAAACTTTAATGTTAAATAAACAAGAATCCCAAAGAGTTAGGCGCATTACTATTCATTTTCCTTGAAAAAAAAAATTAATTGAAAAACAGGCCGAAAAAAGGCAAAAGATTGGGAATACCCCCTTAAGGATCTTTCGGATCTTCCGGAGGACAGTTCCGTTGTATTCAGGATCCATATATATAAACATTTGTGCCCATTAATCTAATTTATGAATCTCAGGCCACTTGCAAAACCCATAAACACTCCTATAAAAAAAACTGTATCGACTCTTTTCGCTTTTTAATAAAATAGACGACCCTATTTTTAATCTTTCTACAATCAAAATAGTGTACAGACCCTAGGAATTTTAGAAGTACCACATTTTTTTAAATTCATCAAGAAATGGCTAAATTATGCTATTGCAAACTTGCCGTTACATGTTTTTCGGAGGCATCGTATTCGGAGTGTTAAAAATCAACGAGAGGCGATTTTACGAGACAGCTAAAATTCGTTTTTTGTTCTGATGAATATGACTGTAGGAAGGCGAGCCACAAATCTCCCATCTTTATTTGAACGTGCCACCTAAAACATTTCCGCAAACATTTGCATTTTTCCGCACTCACACTGACAACGCCAAACATTCATTCCAAGGTAAAGCTCATAAAAACATTCAAAATAAAATTTATTGCATTTGATAGTTTTGATAGTTTTACATAGAAAATGCAAAAATAAACACTCTGTACGGATGTAAATTGACAAAACATAAAGTAATGAGTTTTTGAACCAGAAATCTCTTCGGATCGCCTTTGATAGAACAAGACCCTCTCAATGTTTTCAATCCAAGTGATCTGCAAGTTTATGACAACTAATTCAAGATACAAACTTCAACAGTCTGCTGGACCATGTTTAGGCAGCTAAAAATTACGCGTGATAAACTATCCTATGCAAGTGAATTTTTAAAGAAAAACTTTCTGTACTCCCTACAATCAGAATCCATAGCGGAAGCCACCAAATGGAACCAAAAACGTGGCCAAGGTATGTTTACCATTTCAGTAAGTTGATGCCAAACTGTAACAAATGAAACCATTATAAGATTGTGATCATCCTACAGTTTTTGACAAAACAGTCGATCCCTCGACCGTTCAGCATCCGGCTGGCCAAGTTACAAGATGAGCCACATATCATGCATTTCATCCGGGAGAACTTTTATGACGAAGAACCCCTGCTGAAGAGCTTGAACATCACCAAGTCTGTTGCGAATCCGTGTTTGGAGTCGTACCTGTGCAATCATTTGAAATCAGGTTGTTAGAATAAGAGTCTTTCTGTATAGAGTTTTTTGATGTTTAATCGGTGCACACTACTGCATCATCTAAATCGAAGAAGTGCGAGCAATAGGGAAACAGATTAGTGGGAAAACAATGAATCTATTCAGTTCCGTGTGCTAGATAGAGAAAAACGATTCATCGTCAAAAACTCTATGGTCAGATTATTCATAACCCTTCTGTTTCAGGTTTCACTTTAATTGCTGTTGAACAGGATAACCGAATAGTTGGCATTTCCATCAACCAACGCAACTGCGCTTGGGACGGCGATAAGCTGCGAGAACAGGCAGATCGAGTTCAGTGTGATCCTCTGCGAAAGCTTTTCTACATCTGGTCCATAGTATCGACAGAACCTCGTCTTCATCAAAAATTCCGAACGTCATGCATCTTTGAGGTACGTAGATACGCCGGCATCGTCCGGTATCAACATTTTCATTCCTCGCTGTTCAAGCTCATGCGCAAAAGCATTCTTCCGCGACCGTTGGCATGTAGTTCCACTACTCTCCACTAGAGACTGAATTTTGTTTTCTTCTGTGCTTTTCTCCAACCGCCTTTTTTCACCAGATTGCCATCCTCGCAACGGCACGCGAAGCCCAGCGACAAGGTATCGGATATCAATTAACGGTTCACTCGCTGCGTTTGGCACGTGATTTAGGCTTTGAGGTGGCTCGAATGGATTGCACCAACGAGTACAGGTAAGCTCCCGTCGTCTAATGTGTGCTTTCGACACCGTTGTTTGCTGATGGTATCAACTTCTGTTTTGTTTCGTTTGTTCTTCCATGCTTTGGCCGGTGGGACTTGCCGCTAACACAGCTCCAGATTGGCGCAACGGGCTGGCATGGAGTGCATGTGGTCCGTTCCGTACAAGCATCTGGTGGACAGTGCTAAAAAGCCAGTGGTTAAACCGGATGAACCTCACACCCATATTCGAGTACATGCCACAAAGCTGAAAGGTGCTTAGAGCTTAGAAGGTTGGTAAATGTGTAGCCTACTGAATAAATTATACAAATTGAATTAAAAAGCTTTCTTTTACATAAGAGCAATTCCACGCCAGCTGACAAATCGATTTTATGTCACCCTCTCCGAATTCTATGAAACTGACGTGTAATGAAGTATTCGATATTTTCCAATAAATCATAGTACGAAAACGGCTCATTCAATCGTTATGAAGACTCAAACAATGTTGAACGAAACTGGAATACCTTTTCAGAAAAAAATACACACTGAATACATTTTCGTCAACAAATTTCAATTTCGTTTTCATTGTCATTTTCAAGCACAGAAGGTTTTTTTTATATGTTTATTAAGGAGACTTTCAGCCCTGGGCTGGCAGCACAGAAGATGGTCATAGGTGTGAATACTCGATAATCACCGAGGAATCACCGAGGGCTAATCACACGGAAGCACGTCTTACCGTCTCAGAAGCTGCAAGTGGAATGTGCAGTGAGAATGGCGGTACCACCGATGCCTGGTCGAGTGCTAGGTAGCTCTGGACGGAAATCACTCACACATTCCTATTCATCTAGCTACGATGCGCTGGGTGATTTCGCCCGATTTTAGCACATGTTACACTACAGTATTTATTCACCACACAATAGGGACAGGTCTCCAGTGAAACATCACTGTCCACAAGGGTAGAGGTAAATATTTGGCCACATAGAATAATAATCACAGGGATCAAGTGAATCTTGCTTAAGATGCCGGATAGGAAGGAATAGTGTTTCAAGTAGGGGATAGTCGGAGTAACAGTAGTAACGTGAAGCAGGGTCGCCCTAGTTTCTTTTTTTTTCCAGACATACGGTAATTGAAAGCTTTCCCTAGTATTCCTTGGGATGTGTTCCTTTCCTGATGTCCAAAGTAGTTTAGCTATGCCACTCCAATTTTATTGTTGATCGTGTGGTTCCCCAGTTCTTTGACTGCAATATGCTGGAACAGCCATTGTGCAATACTGAACCACCCTGAGCACTACAACCCTGGAATATCAGCATCGCTGCTACAGCTGATCGCCAACAAACAAACGTGAATAGGCTACGAGTCGAGATATGTCTATTGTCCGGTACGTAACACATAAGGGATAGCAACGTTTACCGTCATCTAGATATCTACGGTCGGCTGACATCGAGAGCAGCAGATGAGATGACCAACGAAGATCGCATAACTGTTCAAAACGAAGTTGGATCGATCGGACAGAGATATTTACAGCGTGAGAGGGAGATTTGATCTACAAGCGATGGCCAGATCAAGAGAAGAGATTCAGATGTTTTCGGTCGCCGCATAGAACAGTTGTATCGCATCGGGGATGAAGAGTTTTATAATATTCATGTACTATTAATTATCGTAAGTGTAATCAAATTAGTAAATGTGCTTTTAATATAATAAATCAAGCTAAACATTGCATTATGTCCTAAGTAACATTGACAGATTCTCTTCGTCAACTTTCTCTTTGTATTCCCATGGCCATGTAAAGACATTATCCGGTAGTTTCAGCACACAGATCGATAAAAGAAGCTTTTATCGAGCATATAATACGAAAATACAGCATGAAACGGTTATGTGCTCAAGTTATTAACGAAAGAGAAAGTCGACCAAGAGAATCGATCAATGTTACTTAGGACCTAATGCAATGTTCAGCTTTAAATGTAATTTTTTTTTTATTCAAACTGTGTGATTCAAAAACCAACCCGCGTGTGTTTGTTTAGTGATTAAAACCAGAAATATTCGGACCCAATGTTGAAAGGACTGTGTGACCCCATTAGGATTTATCCAGCAATCTATTGGTTTCCCCGCAACCTCGCTGTTCGCACAGCATGCGTGAGGAGTTAATTCACCGTACTTGTCTAATACATCATGGCTACATCGAAGAATTTCACCACCTAGGCAGATTAGATCATGGACTGAACCGAAACCGATGATGTGTCATTACGTCGTGTTATCAATGACTGCCGATGATTCAGCCAATATAAAAACCTAAGGAAAACGTCTAGGGTTAACCTTTTTTGATTATACACGGAAACAAATCCGATTCCATTTTCATGAATAAAAAATCATGAAATGAAAAAACTTGCCATTCCATGAAATCGTAACAATGATTCATGATTTCGTCATGGAAATTCATGATTTCATAATGCAGTGGAATCAAGACCGCTACAAGCGTTACACGTACATACTTGACAAACCGTGTTCATAAACCACACTACATAAATATGTATCTCTTATACGCCATTTGTCATCTATTTTAAACAAGTACTGATAGTCTAATGGTCAAAGTATGGGTTTGGTGATATCAAGATTCTTGGTTCGAATCCAGTCTGAGGCTTAATTTTTTTTTTTTTGATTCAAAGTTAAACCCATGAATTTTCCTCATGATTTCAACTCGGATAATTCATGATTTTGGGAATGTTTGCTGCGTTACGCAAAAGTTGCTCATGATATCATGAATATTATTCATGGTGTATTTTCATAACATGAAAATACGCTGTGTTCCTGAAATCATGAGTCATTTTTCTCATTTCGGAGATCGAATTTTTTCCCGTGTACCAACCAGCAGATGAGCATTAGTAGCTTAAAGTCAAGTTAGTGAAATAAAACATTTGAAACTATTGGTGATTAATAAATCGTATGTGGACTAGAAGAACTTACCTGTGATGAAGATCATACCTGGCAAGGAAGAATAAACTTACCTGTGAATTGTAACACGAACCTAAAATAAAGTGATTATACCCGGGAAAACCTCCCGTCTTACTGAGTATCAGAACATGGTCCTTCGAGCCGGAGGAACGTCGAACTCCGTTCATCAACGAACCACCTACCAGAACCGTTCCATCTTGCTTCTGGAACATTCTGGAGAGGTTGCCACGGGGTATTCGTCAATCACCGTTTGGATTACGCCATCTTGGGCATTGCTGTCCCGCCAGTGTAGTTGCAGACCATGACTTCAAACGAACTCCGCATTTGATATGTCAATCTGCAACTACGCAGTATTTCGTCGTCGTTTACACACATCAAGCAATTCGTGGAAAAGTACGATGAGAAGAAAGACGAGACGGAGGTTCCAGTGCGCCTTGAAAACCTTGGTACGCTGTGGGCCAAATTCAACAAAGTACTCATCGAGTAGGAGTCACTGGATGATGAAACCTTTGAGAAGCATCTGAAGCAGAGAACGGAAATGGAATGCCAATACCACAGACAAACAGACATAACACTTGCAGGTTGTTCATCGATCAAGCATTTAACGGACAATTTAAAAGTATCGTAGTTGGTAGTACCGTGACCTGTGGCGCGCATAGTCAATTTCCTTGCGTTTGACGTTTACACACTACCGCCATCTGTTCAGTGTAGTGGCCACCACAGTTTACTCAACAGATGGCGGTAATAGTTTAGCGACGATGTTTTACAGTGAGAAATATTCAATGTGTTATGTCTGTTTGTCTGTGCCAATACTATCGCGTAAATGGGTTCCTGTTCGCCGTGAATAAATCCCCTACATCGTGTCTAAGGGCCCATGCATTAATTATGTCACGCTAAATCGAGGAAAAAATTACCCCCTCCCCCCTATCGTGACGTTTTTCCTATACATAATGCATTGCTTGTCACAAAATCTTAGACTCCCCCTCCCCTCTTAGAGCGTGACCCTAAGGTCCCCGGGTACTTCAAACGCTCTTGTCCCTCGACATCGCACTTGCGGGTGCCTTATGTGAAGCTTCCCGTATTGAGAGAACTGGCTCAACTTCCCGGATCTTTATCTTTCGCTAGTTCATTCCTCGCAAGACATTTCAAATATTCAAAAATTCTACTACCTCCGTTCATCGCTTTCGGAGAGGCCCTCAAGTTGGTACAGACAATACCTATCAGTGCCGTCAACTGCAGGCGGAACACTATCAGAACACTAATCGTCTGAAGGGTTCGTATGTAGATGCGCTGTTTGAATTTCCCGCCACCAAACGAGAATCGGCATCCGAGTTGCACTCTCTCGTCGAGAAGTTCGAGGCCAACGTTCGTGTTCTACAACAGTTAGGCGAACACTCGCTTTCCCCAAAAACGCCATCAGCAGCAACACTCGGGCTGTAATAAACCAACCGGTATTTCTCAAGCAATTTCTCAAGTAACATTGCAAGTTTTATGGAGGTTTTAAAGCATGCTACAAGTCTAAATCATGGTCTACAGAACTCTTATAAAACCGAAATTGTTACTTGGGCAATATCGAAGGAGGTAAGGACCGACTAACCAACAGCCTTCTTGCACTTTGTTAGTCATCGATAACAGTTTCTGGCCGTTGATCTGGGCTTTCATTGGTGGATACCTCTATGTTGTCAGGAGGCTTTCTTGCTTCAAAACTAAGAGCATTTAGAGTGCAGCGGCGCCAGTGGTGTAGTGGTAAGCGTGATTACTTCTCACCCCAGCAGGCCTGGGTTCAATCCCAGTCAGCGCCACCGGGATGTTCTAAGGCATAACATCTCTGATCACGCCTTTCTTCGGAAGGGAAGTAAAGCCGTTGGTGCCCGGTTCATGAGTTGATGGGTCGATAGGTAGGGTCTAGGTGTGGGAGCTGCTCAGCACGGAAAACAAATCAAGGAAAAAAAAAGAGCCTTTAGAATTTATGTTGCTTTTGAGAACAGTCGCAACTTCCATTGAGTACGTTAACGGTCGGAGTTATTAGCGTATGACAACGATTTTTGATCGTTGCCCATCGGATGTTGTGGTCTCTTATAAAAGAGCATGGACTATAGAAAGTACAATATGCTTTTCTTATTATTTCTCTGGTAGGCTCTTTTCTCGTCAAGTTGCTGGTAATATATGCCCCTAGGTATCTTAGTTTCGTCACTACCGCTTGTTGGTATTTAGTGTTACCTCAGGTGCCACATTTTTCGTGTTGAAGGGATCTCTGAACAGCTCTTTAGATCTCTTGGTGTTGATCTCCAATCCTAAAGATGCAAGTAGCGGCTCCAGTGTAGCGATTGTGCATTCCACATCCTCAATTCTAG